TTTGATCCTTTCAACAATCCCATGAGGAAAATGCTATTATTATCACCATCTTACAACTGAGGAAACTGAGGCAAACATCACTTAAATGAGTTGCCCAGGAGTAAGGAAATGCCATATTTTAGTTAGAGCTTAGTGAAAATAAAGATGGATTTTTCTCTATCCAATTTCACTGACCCCCTGAAATCTATCCATGATCTCTTGGGGATCTGTGGACCCCAAGTTAAGAAAATCTGATATAGGAAAGAGGGGTAGGATTTTATAGGGAAAGTCAGCTGAGAAAAAATGGGGAGTTCTCAAGAATTGTATTGTGAAGGGGCAGCCAGGTGACACAGTGGATAGAGCTCTGGTCTTGGAGTCAGGAGAGCTTGAGTTCAAATCCGACCTCAGACACTTGACACTTACTGGCTTTGTGACCCCGGGCAAGTCACTTAAACCCGACTGCCTCACCAAAAAGCAAACAAAAAATGTATTATGAAAACACAAAAAGAAATTGTTCTAGTGAAAAGAAATAAGGAAATTGTCTGAAAAGGTCAATGTGGAAGCACAAGAAACTCAATGACAAACTTGTATTTCAACAATTGTCTAGGAGACAGAAACAAGGACAAGCACTAGAAGACGGATACTGTAAAAATTATGTCTAGAGTATTACAGTTCAGAATGAGTTGAGGGAAAGAACACCAAGGACAACAATTAAAAAAAAAAAAAGAAAAAGGAATCAAAAAAGGCAGAATGATGGTTCTGAGTGTAGAGAAGACACAGACTGTTTAATTATGGTTATTATTTTAAATCTGTTTTCTCTAACAAGTTTTAGGACTTTGGGGCAGGAAAAGATAGAATAAAAGTAGTTAACAGTGAGATGAGGAGGGATATATCTACAAGGACACTTAATCTGCCCTTGATCAATTGAACTAGACTGAATGAACTACATCCTCAGGAGGCTAAAGAACAGGAAGATGTTATTGCTTAGGTGAAAGATGAAAGACCATCAAGAATGGGTGGAGAACCACAAGCCTGGAAAAAAAGATAAATACTGTCCCATTTCTCAAAAAAGGGAAGAGAAGGATATCTGAGAACAATAGGCCAATGTGTTTAACATCAATTCCTGGCAAAATTCTAGAACATATTATTAAAGAGATGGTTGGTGGATATCTAGAAAAGGAACTAGTGATCACAAAGAGCCTAGTGTAGCCTCATCAAAAACAAATCATGTGAGACTAGCCTTATAGCCTAGGTTATAAGCCTTCTTTTTCGACACAGTAACTAAACTAACTTAGAATCTAACTTTCAGCAAAGAGTTTGAAAAAAGCCTCTCTCATGTTGTTTGTTGTTGTTATTTTGCTGTAAAAAATCCTTCAAATAAATGGCCTCAGGAATAAAGTCATCAAAATTAAAGACAAAAAAATCATTTTAACAGCCCGCCCAAGTTTTCTGATGGAGTTACAGGAATGCTTAGGTACCTCTGAGGCAGAAATAGCTGTATATTGCTCATCTGATGGAGGGAACCGAGATGTTCACAATTACACTTGTAACCTTTGAGAACGAAATCATGTTATTTGCTCTTTGAAAGTTTTAAAATCCAAAAGATAAATTGGTTCAAGGACAAAGAGGCTCAATTTTGATGTACTAAAGTGCTTTACTTTGAATGGAAGGCTTGGGGGAAACTTAAGAGGCCCAGTTGTTGCCTTACCAAACTGGGCAACTTCCTGAAAGCTGCCAAGGTTCATCTCCACATTCTTTGGGAACGTTGTACTAAAGCATTTACTAAAAACCATGAATTTATGAAGCACAGATAGGTACAAAACTACCTTTGCACAACTGATACAAGGCAGGTGAATGTGTTTCCTCAATTTATTCTATTATTTATTTCATCATTATTTCTGACTATTGCCTAATATTATTAGATATTCTATTATTATATTTCTCTGATCACAGCTATAATGTGTTATTTATTTCCTTGAGAATAAAACATTTTTATAATTCCAAATGACTTACAGTTAACCTAGGCCAGATCTATGCCACCTAAGTAACTTTCCTTTGTTTTTAGAGTTTCCTAGTTTTTAGTCAAATTTAAAATCAAAATGACTCTGCCTGACTTCAGAGACATAAGTAACCTATTTTGACAATTTATAATATACCATTCTCATTATCTGACATGAGTTTCATGATGACTCCAAATTCAAATGAATGAGCTTATTTTCTAGACAAACTTTGTTCCTATTCTTCTAAATACAAACAAAAAAGCCAGACATCTCCTTATGCTTGTAAGCATGCAGTGCTCACAAAATTTATTGTGCTGCCTTGAGTTTAAACAAACAAACAAAAAGTATTTGTAAGGCAAGAAAAAAGAATAATCAAAAAGTATGCACGTTGGTTAAATAAGGCTATGAAAGCTAGCAATAAAATTGACATAAACTTTACATTAGCCAAAAGGTTACTATACTTTACTGAACAGAAACCTATGATAATAGGTTCAACTAATACAGGAGAAGAAGTTAGGCAATACAATAATGGCTGAGTCACTGAATGTAAAATGCATTTAAAGTAAACACAAGCACATAGAAATAGGTTATAAAATCCAGAAACATATGAATGAAACAGCAGCTGAAACATTTCAAAGTCAGTTAAAGCATGCAAATGTTAAAATTTAGGTTGCAAAAAGCTGTTGTGAAATGATTATGGAAATTATATACTAACCATCTCTGGCGCTACCCCCCATGAAAGCACAAGAAGATAAAAAGACATTAACAAAGTATTAGAAGCAATCAAAATAGAGTAATGCAGCTTAGTATTTGCATAGCAAATCATTCTAATAGTTATCTAATGTTTTAAATACTCAAATTGAAAAATTAATATTAAATAGTAGTCACACTATAGCTTTCAGAAACATAAACCAAGACAATTCAAAAGAAACTTGGAAAATAAATCTAAAGAATAAATCTAGACTAAGGATAAGATCTTCTGTTCCTACTGATAAATGCACTGCATCCACCATTTTGTGACTAAAACATGCCTCCATTAGCATTTTCATTTTGCTCAGGCAGCAAGTGTTGTATAGGGAATCTTTAGGTTAGATACACAGACACAATGACCTACACCCTACCTCACACACACACCAAAAATGTATCCAGAGTTAATGCCTTTTCTGTGCCTGCCAATATTCCATTCATATAAGGGAGTGAATAAACAAGATGAATTTTCATTTTTTGGTAAATATTATTTACTTTTAATGCTTGTTTTACTTACTACATACCCTCACTAATCTCCCTGTATATTTTAAGTCATGGCAATAGCAATAGTTTGGGTCAAGTTTTTGAAATAAAGTATTCTGAAGGAATGTTCCAATTCATCTCAGTGGATTGATGTCATCTTTGTATTAAATGAGCTTATAGACATCAACATTAAGGGACAAGCTGAAGAATTAATGGATAATTAACTGATGCTCCTAGGCTTGTCAACTATCTCTTTAAATACAGGTATTAGACTTAACTTATTTCAGTTTATAGTAAAAATCAGAATTATGAAAAAATGAGGGGGATACAAGAAAAGATATCCCTTATCAAGCTGCTATGTGGATTATTACTATTCCTATAAAAATTTCAGGAGTTATTAAAACTATTCACAATACTTTTTTTCTCCTCTATGGATTGATTAAATGTTTTATAGATTTCTTCCTGCATATATAAAAACTCAATCTTCTCAATAATGTTAATATGTAAAGTCTTAGAGATTTGTCTGAGTCTCAGAAAGGTAAAGAGACTTGGCCATGGTCATTCAGCTAGTAAAAGCCAGAGACAGGATTTCAACCCAGGTCTCCTGTGACTCCAGGGCCAGCACTTGAGATCTTGCCACACTTGTTTGCTATTGGTAATTTTGAAAAAGATCAATAAGTAAAATCAATCTCTATTATCATTTTAAAAAAACCATGACTCCCTACTGAAATTCACGGGATTTTGCTCTGTGTGCACACACAGATGCACACATATACACCTCTATCTCATACATATACATACATACCTCTCATATATACATATGTATGTATGTGTATATATCTTACACACACACACAAATTACTTCTGCCATCCAAAGATCAAACTAGATATTTTTTCTATTAAAAGAACATGCATGTTGTATATGTATGAGAGGGGGAGAGCAAAGGAGGGGTAGAGAGCGATGTATACACACTCATACATATTGGTCTAGTAAATATATACAGTTAGGTATATATAAACATACACAGTCTTTTAATGGTAAAACAAAAAAAAAAAGCTAGTCTGATCTTTGGATGTTAGAAATAATTTGTTACCAAGACCATATTCAAAGCAATTCCAAATTGGAAATGTTGTGCTCCATTGGTAGAACATTAGACTATTATTTTAGTAGAGGTTATTTAAAAAATACAAAATATCCTTTAAAACCCCAAAACTGGAGGCAGAGTGGCAGAGTAGATAGAGAGCTGGACCTGCCTCTAGGGAAGTCAATTAACCCTTCAATGCCTCAGGCAGTTCTTTATGACTGTTAGTTGCAGAGGTGTCTATCTCCATCGGTAGAGAGTTTTCACTTTAGGAGTTCTCTACACCAATTC